CAGTGATCAGAATGTGAGCGAGCCAGGCAGACACAGCTGTAGTAGGGAGCCCCAGGAAGACCAACGGGAAAGCACAGGAGAGACAAGCCCTCCCCAGCCCATCCCAGGCTTCCCTCAGTATGCATCTTGGTGTCCAATGGGTGACAAGACATTCTGAGGTTGGAGAAAGTGACTCAACACAGCTCGCATTTTTTAAGCCCTGGCCAGAAGCATGACACTTGGCATACCTCAACAGGAGCCATACACTTCAGGTTCCACAGTGCATTATTAAGATTAATGTATAATAGAGACTTCAAATAATTTGGAATACTCCAGGTTGGCCAAGAAGTGTTTAAAAACAGCATTGCCTGAATTTTTATAATGGTAGAAGAAATCCCAAGTTCTATAAGATAGAAGTTTGTTAAGAAATAGAAAATTCTATTATCTATCAACAGAATGAGAATACTTAAATGTGTTTTTCTCAGTTACTTCTGCATTTAACAATACTAGTTTTGCTAAATAAATAAATAGATGGATAAACAAGCAAATAAGCCAATTAATAAGAGATCAGTTGGATCTTCAGATCTAAGTTTATGCATCACACCACATTGTGCTGAAAGATATCTAACATGCTCTCTCAGTTACAGAGCAGGGAGTTGTATCTGAAGGCCAGAGAGAAGTCTTAGGAAGGACACCTGGGCTCTGATCCTCTTCCAATCACGTGTGCAGTCCCAGCTTTAAGTTGAAATCATTTGCTTGACTACACCCTTCTGTCTTTCCACCAGCTTCCCAGAAGTCAAAGGAATGTGATCTCAGAGTTTTGGGAGAGTTTGAGGTTGTGAGGTGACTGACAGTATGGGAAGGAAAGAGGTCAGGAGCTTGGAGTCACACATGTGGGCTCAAGTCCTGGAGCAAGTGCCCCCTAGCAAGCTGCATGACCTTGAGGAGCTCAGCTGCTTTATCTGTAAAGTAAGGAAAATAAAATCCTTTCTATGGCTTGAATGCCCCTCCAAAACTCATGCTGAATATGTATATGTATCCATTTCCCAAGATGACTGCAATTATTATATAAGATAAACATACACTAACAAGATGCTTCATGTGGAAATTTAATTACCATTGTAGTGGTATTAAGATACGAGACCATTCAGAGGTCACGGGGCCATGAAGTCACCACCCTAATCAATAGATTCAGGCCATTCTCAACAGAGTCGGTTAGTTATGGGAGGTCATAGGCTCCTAACAAAGGGATCCATTTGGATCCTTCACCCCTTTGTGTGTGTTTCCTCACTCTGTGATGTCTTTCATCATGTTATGTGGCACTAAATATCAGTACTGTGCTGCTTTTGGACTTCTGAATCTTCAGAAGAATAAGAAACAACCCCTGTTCTTTATAAGTTACCTGGCCCCAGGTAATCTGTTGTACCAGCAGAAAATGTGCTAAGACAATCTTTTCCAGAGGATTATGAAGATTAGATGAAGTACTATGCATAAATGTATCTTGTAAGTCATGAACAACCCTAACCTACTAAGCATACTAAAGGTGAGAAGATCAGAGGTGGCCCAGGCACCATCACCATTCTCTCAGCAAAGGTCTGTGCTGAGCCAGCTGTCTGACTGCAGCACCCACCTGCCTCTCCCCTCTCCCTCACCTCACCCTACCCCACCCCTGCCCACCTCTAACTCAGAGAGCTAAGATACTGTGCAGCCGCAGCCTTGAGCACTGTGTCATGTTCCTGCACCTGTCATCTGTCCCGTGCACAGGAGTAAGATGCCAGGTGACATCTGGAGATGAGGTGGGAAGGAAGAGCTGTCAGCAGGGACTCCTGTGGGTGCAGGTGGCAGGAAGGTAAAAGGTGAACACTGTGGGGCTTGGGGTAGGGTCCCTAGAATAGGGGTAAATTTCAGCCCTGGGTTAAAGTGTACAGTTTGACCTCCAGAATCTCCTGAGAAATGGGCAACACAGGCAAATGGCTTAATATCCCTGCGTACTAGCTGGCTCATTTCTGAAGTCTGCTCTGCCTGCTTCACTAGGCTGGTATTACAATACAGTCCATTGACTCTGAGACCCCAATAATTGTAAAGTGCACCATAATATAATGTATCACTAGGAGAGAAAGAAAAAATGCCATCAATTGAACTCTGTCCTACCACTATTGTAAGACATAGGCTGATTTCAGAGATGGTTCACATCTTAGAAGCAATACAATGTAGATGAACACCCAATCTGAGAATAAGACAAAATATTGATTAGAACCACAAGCCTCAATCCTCAGCAGGGAGCTGAGTATCACCCCTTCACCTGCACCTGTTCTCATATGAATGAATTAAAGAGAAAGAAATCTATGGCTGCCTGGAAAACAGCTAACAATTAGTCTAGAGGGGACAAGACAAAGATCTTTAGGTTCAGATGGAAAGCATGGGCCTGCAGGGCTATCCTTGAAGGCAGAAAAGCCTGAAGAACCTCTAAGAAAGGGAGCTGAGAGGGCTAGGGAGACACTATAGACAGAACCAATGACCTGGCCCCATTCAGCACCTGCACCCCATCGAGGCACCCTGGACATCCAGGAGAGGAATGGAGGACCTTCTTGGTCATGTCAGCAAATGGCCCCTGATAAGCCCTCAAATCTGCTCCTTCAAAAGCATTAGCAGCCCTTATTACAGTTGCTGCAGTTCTTCCTTATCCAGTTAAGCAGTCTGGTTCCTCCACCCCCTCTCACCCATCAGAGTTCCCAGATCCCACACTAGAACAGCCAGATTCCCCTGTAAAGAACAACTGTCTGTGGTTATCTTCAGGAGTTCTGTTCCAAGACCGCTTGCAGACACCAAAGACCATGCAATGCCCAGACACCTTGCATAAAATGGCACAGTGTTTGCCGGCAACCTGTGCACAGCCTCCCTTCCACATACTTTAAATTATCTCTAGATGACTTATAATACTCAGTACAATGTAAATGCTACATACACATCACCAGTCATTATTCTGTACTCTTTAGTAATGACATGGCAAAAAGTATGCGTGTGAGCAGAACAGACACAATTTTTCCACAAATATTTTCTATCCACGCTTGGTTGAACCCATTACACAGAATCTATGGATACTGAGGGTTTCACTGACTTCAACTGTCAAAATAGCTGGTAACATGTGACAGCCAAAAGATGTATGCTGAGCATCTTTAATGGTTATTTATCATTGCAAAAGACAGAAAGCAATCTAAGTGTCAAATATCACAAAACTAAGAAGCAAGCTATGTGCATCTCTTTAACAAACTGCTGATCAGTCATTACAGAATTTTTACCAAACTATGGAATAAGTAACATGTGATAGGCACATGCTATATTGAGAAAGGCAACAAAATTACAGGCATTTAAAAAGAGCTTGTTTAGCATTACAGGGCTGGGAAAAAATAGTCGAAAATAATCAAGAATTTTTCTTAAGCAGTGAACTGGTTTTCTTATTCTTTTGATTTTTAGTATTATTGTATGTCCTTTCATGAACATATCATTATTCAAACTAAAAGCTTGGACAAAAAATTTCAACTGGTCTCTGACACATATAGTCTTGAATAGGACCGATCTTGACAAATACTACTCTACACTACACAGCACTGTGCTTCTAGACAGAATCATCACATCTCTAAGTGACTCAGATTCCCATTTGGGCCTTTTCTTATACAGTACATATTTATTTTAGAGACATTTAAAACATCACCCAGGCATGCTGCATTTTCTACAACAATGTACTCCTATAATACTGTGTACAAAATGTACCTTTAGGTACTAAATCATACTTAAAGTCCCATCGCAGAATTTTGGTAGGAAAAATAACCTCCAGAAAATCTCATTATAAGGCAACACATGATTTTAAACATGAATAGTCACCCCTGTTAAGGTGTCCATCCCATACATCCAAGGTGCTGGCTGCTGACAAGCTCTGCTCCAGTCCCTTATACCTTCCACTCTTTCTTCCACTTGATCGCAATTAGCATAAAGGTCAATGACAAGAGTTGTGTCTGTTCCACAAGACAACAGTCCCCAATCCCTTATCCCTCAAAGACTTAGCTACTTCCTATCTCACTCAATTATTCTTTGGGAAAATTTCCTCTTTTTCCCCTTTCTTTTGGTCAGTCAGAAAGTTGTGAGATACTCCTGGCTCTTTAGCTTTGCATACTGACCAGGCAGAAGGGAACTTCCAGACCATATTCATAACTGCCGTGTCCACACTGTACTGCTTCCCTCCCCTGTAGCTACCTGATTCAAAACCCACCAAGGCCTAGAAATGCAGCGTGGCACGCTTACTGCCACTGCAGCCAAGCCTCGTCATATCTGCTGTGAAAGGGCTGTGTCAGCCCCATGTCCTTCACTGTAGGTATAACCAAAAGAATGCTTTATCAGATATTTAATAAATGTACCAGCACTACATATGCCCTGTGACACCAGGTCAGGCCCATAATAGTATTACTATGTTACTCTCCAAGGAATTGCCAAATATTTTAACGTGACTCAATTTTGGGCTATTAATAAGTATGTAAATCATTAAAAATCCTATTGTCAGAACACGAGTCTTAGTGATCAGTTTAGAAAATAGGCTCAGGGTCTTCTCCAGGGCCCAACACAAACTGTCTTCAACCTTATCTTTTGACTCATCTCTTGAGGGTAGTTCTCAGGCTAGGACAATTGCTTGCTGAAGTGAAAAGGCTCCCTCCCCAGGCAAGTGTGGGTTCAACAATCTAGCCCAGCACAGAATAGGAAGCCAGACCTGCCTAGGAGTTCCACACCCTCTGTCTAATACCACCAGAATCTCCATGGGGCATTCCCAAGCCTCAGGAGATGGGTCTTCTGTGGTCCCACCCCAGAGGGAGTCTTATCCGTGAGCATTTTTTTCTGTATCTACTCCACAGTCTGTTCTTTCCACCCCAATGTCCCTGCACCAGCCAGAATGAATACACATATGCATACACAAAGTATGTGCCACTACACCTACACACACATGAAGAGGGAGTACAGGGAAGAGAACTCACCCACTGAGGACCACAATGAAGTCCATGACATTCCAGCCATTGCGGAGGTACGAACCCTTGTGGAAGATGAAGCCCAGGGCCACGATTTTGATGCCTGCTTCAAAGCAGAAGATCCCAATGAAATATGGTTCTGTTTTTTCCTGTGGGCATAAGGAAGAAGAGCACCAGTAAGAGAATTGTTCCCCATAGACACAAGCAAAGGCACACTCTGACCACTTCCTGTGTGCTTGTAGGTAGAAAGTGAGGGTAGTGAGGAACTAAGGAAGACCTGGGGCTATAGGTTTACTGTGACTCGTAGAATACACAGAGCAAGGGGGCCAACTATAGACACAGACACGTGTGGGGTCACACCAGAGACTACACCTCCTTCTGCTACAGGACCCCCATGGCTCTGCCCTGAAGAAGCTCGCCTCTCCATTGCTGAGCTTCACATCAGTTAAAAATTCAGAGTGCTCATGGCCAGGTAATCAGGCCAGAGCCACTCACCCACACATTTGTATTTTAAGCAGTTTGTTTGCCCTCCTCAGGGAGAATACATTAGACAGGTGAATCATTTCTTTGGGGAGAGTGTGGACGTCAGCATTTAGCGAGTATGCAATCACCAACACAAAAGGCTTAGCGCTTCCTTGGCCCTCTCTCCTTTGCCCTCTCTTATTCTTCTCACTTGGGAAATCCCTTGGGAAAGAGGAACACAGCAAATGGCCTTGTGCTTGCCCTTTCTTCCTGTCTGGCTCCCATGTGGTGCACACACGTGTCTGCGAGGCCTTTCTGTCCTATTCCTAAGCCCCAGTGGGGCTTCCTGTGACCTTGTCCTTGGCAAAGAGCAAGCTCTTCACAGAGAAGGAATGGAGGAAAGGGGAAGAGAAGGCCAGAAACCCAAGTGGAAAGGAACCAAGGAAGAGGAAGAAGGAGGGGAAAGGGTGGAAGGGAAAGAAGCACATACCAGTCTCCGGGACATTGGGGTCTTGTCATCTTCAGGAAGATGCTGCTCCAGGGCCAAGACGATGCAGTTAGCAATGATGGTGGCCAGGATCATGTACTCAAATGGCGTGGGAAAGGAGAAGTTAAGGAATAGATTCACCTAAGAGACAGGGACGCAGCCTCCCAGATGGCTGTGTACATAAACATACAAACTATCAAACCCCGGTGTGATTAGGATTTGTATTAGCAAGCAGGCAGGCAGGACAGTGTATGGTCCTTAGCATGTGAAAAGTAACCACGTGGAACAGGTCCATGAAGAAGCATCTTCTTCAGGAGAGAGAAAGAGCCAGTAGGTATCAGAGTTAGGCATCCAGCAGGTGCTCTAGGTACTGAGTGAATTCAAAGAAAAGTCCAGGAACTAACAAGGGCTGCATATGGATGAAAGAAACATGATTAATGCAGTAGCAGGCACCTCGTTCTTACTGTTCAAGCCCCTGGAGTGGGAAGCATTGCTTTGGCAAGGACCCAGCTGCACCTGTCTTTTGCCTTGCGGAAGTCACATCTGGACCCTCTTACTCTAGAACCTCTTTTCAACTGAGTCACAGGGGAACCCCTAAGAACTAAAGCATTCTTCCCATGTGAAGCCCCTTTTACTTTAATACTCAACTCAGATGTCATCATGCAGTCAGTAGTAGTTTGCTTTCTCCTACTTTATTTTCTCTTATGCTTCCACATCTACAGGACACATAAAGATACAGCATCTCAAGACTGCAAAGCACAGGCCTTTAGGAAACAAACTGAGTCAAATGAATGGATGCAGCTTGTTTCTGTTGTATTTTTCAGAAGGTAGAAGAGGGACTCCCTGCGTCTTTTTGAAAAACAGAACTGTGACTCAAATCCAGCCTCCTGACTCCCGCTGGGAGGTCTTGCTGCATGCACAAGGGGAGGACTGTGAGAAAAGAAAGGGAATCACCACTCTCCCAGGCCCCAGGCATCCCACATGTCCAGATTTTATTCTGTAACTACTGTCATGACAAACACAAGCCAGCTGTTGTCACTAGCCATGCAAGGAAATGTGTGCTCTGGCAGATTCCAGAATCTAGGCGGGAGAGAAGAATAGCAGACCTGGTAAGGGGGAGGAAAGGACAAAGCCATTCTGCTGTCTCCCCACAGAGCCAGGCTGGTGGTGTAGGATATAAGGCTGAAAGCCCTCCCTTCTCATGCAGAGGGAGAGCAAATCATAAAGATTCCCCCCCTCCCCTGATGTCTTCTATCCCATCTTCATGGGGATGTCTCTGTCAATGAAAATACTGAATGAGTATTGGGGATCTTGGGGGAGGGGCAGCTCATGGTAGTCTGCATGCCCGGGCTGAGTGTGCACAGAGATGGGAGTGCCCCACCAGCTGCTCTGGGCTTGGTGCTAGCACAGCAGCCTGGGAAGGGGATGTGACTGGCTGCGTGTGAACCTCGAGTCCTCCTGCTTCCATTTGGCAGTGCCATCTCCTCCCCCATCCCCATGCATCCCTGAGTCACACACGTTCTCCAGAAGCTGGCCGTCTTTCCTTCCCACATGCTCCCAGCATCAGACAGCTCCCCTGTCCCAGAGACAGCTCTGCTGCCCTCTGCTTCCCTGCTGCCAGCCACCAAATCTGGAACCTGGGTAAGCCTCGAAGGACCGTGGAGCCAGCTGCTGCCTCCACATCCCTCTGTGCTTACTCGAGCTATCCCAGCCTCACCAGTGAAAACCTTTTCATCACTCCTGGCCATTCCTCCTTCTTCAAACTCCCTGAACACCAAGCTCAGCTTCTGAGAATTAAGCATTGCGTAGGGACTCACCCAGGTCACATGTCCACTTTCTCAGGCCTGGTCCACCAACACACCCAGGCAAGGACACCAGACCCACTCACCACACTTTGAGAAATTCTTCCCATGGCCAGCTCTAAGGCAGAGCTCTAACAAATACAGAGCAGCACAGGACCATCCTGAGGCTATCCTGGGGCTGATGGAGACAGCCAGGTATAGCTGATAAAATGAAGATGAGAACCTGACAGAAGTGGCTGCTGAGGATTCCATGCCCTTTACCCAAAACAGGCTAGAAAGAGCACTGATAGTACACCTGCAGGTTAGTGACAAATCACAATAGCAGCAGAGGGTATTTAGGGCATAATTTCTATAGTGCAGTCCATGAAATACTAATGCTACAGGAACTTACAATCAAATAAACTAGGGAAAGCCTGGGTTAAATAAACTTAAATAGATTTCTTCCCAGCAAGAAGACCTCTTAAAGCTTTCAGTACTATTCTCTCTCTCTTTCTCTCTTTCTCTCTCTCTCTCTCTCTCTCTCTCTCTCTCTCTCACACACACACACACACACACACACACACAAGGGATGCGCTGGGAACCAGACACGGTGTATTCACACTTGTTTAACCTTACAACCTTCTTTCGCAGAGTTTCTTTCTTGGGAATGCTGTCCACAAGAACACACTTGGGAAACCCTAATCCACGACAAATCCTAATCCTAGAGTAAGACTAGTGCCTTTCCTATGTCATGCCCTGTCATTTTTCTGAACAAAATTATTTACGAAGGTATGGGTTCACCTAGCTATTTTTCGTGGCTAAAAGCGGCAAGCTACAAACTCAGAAACCTGCTCCGCACATCCAAGGAGCCTGGGCCCTGACCTGGGAAGTGGGCCTGGGAACAAACAACTTCTCATCCAAGCTGCAGACATCACTAGCTCTTGAGAGTCTGCTTCAATCTTTCATTACTTCTGAGGGTTGAGTCTTCTTTGCATAAAAGTAAAAACCACAGATCTAAAAGTAGATGAGCAGGCAAGACAGGCCCTGGCAGTCGGGCATCCTGAGATTATCCTGCACTGCAACTCCCCCCACTGCTGCGGCCTCTGCAATCCCCACCCCTCACTCCTTGTCCCACACTGGCATCTACCCAGTCATGTCATCTCAGTCTAGAGCTCACTGCTAGCACCCTTAACCTCCACTACTCCAGAAAGTCCACAAGCAGACATGGGAGGCTTGTGGCAGACTCAAGGCAAGCCCTGGAAAACCTGCCTTTCTCACTTCAGGATGCTCAAGACAGGAGTGCTCTTGGATGCAGAAGCTGACAAGTGAAATCTCTTGACTGGCCAAGTACCCAGATGCCTGACAAGTCATGAGCTTCCAAAAACTGTGCTGCCCAAGACCCCAGGGAGCAGAATCAGAAAGTGATAGTTTGACAATTCATAGGTTCTAAAAGTACCTTATTTCCAATTCCCCCTCCAGCCAAATCCTCTGCCTCCTGTCTGATGTCTAAGGATTCATTCAAAGCTTCAACCTTTTCTCTTACAATTTTTTTAAATTATTAATTTTATTCAGAAACAAATAGCAATGAGATGATTTCAAAACAGGTTAGTAGGACAGTTACAAATAATTAATGCATTGCATATTGTTGTCTTCATAGTATTCATAGTATAAGATGCAGACATGATATCCTATCCATACACTATTAGTACAAATCTTTCTTCTCTCTCTTATAATTTTGAAAACTGCTCAAATGCACAAACCCTTGGCAGGGATGCCCCTTTAGGACATCGAGGGCACAGGAAGATTTCACTCCGGGCACTGAGACTGTGATGTGGAGTGCAAGATGAGACTCTGGAGGTCCCAGGGGTCTCCAAGTTTGGGGAAAGAGGATCAGAACCTCCTCTTAGGGGAGGAGAGCAAAGCCAAATGCAGCACTGCCTGGGCCCCAGCCACTTTCCTGCAGCCTTTTTCTTTAAGTTCTTTTCTACTTCCCATTCTGTCCTTATAAAGGACAGGTATTGATGTGGTGCTTCTGCTGTCATCTGCAATATCCTTTCTCTTCCTTTCTGGTCATATGTCAAGTCCCAGTCAAAATGTTACATCGTGAGATCTTTCCTTGTGCCCATTCCTCTTTGCATTGCATTTTTCAGTCTTTTCTTTTTTGCTAGTTTCTACTATCTCCTCCAAAGGGCTTTGCTGAACAGCTCAGTTGTTTAAAGTACCACTTGGGTAAACGCAGGCAGGCACATAGGACCACAGGTCAATTCCCAGCTCCAGAAGCTATATCAGACCTGCCCTTAAGGCAGCCTGAAGTAGAAAAAAAAAAAAACCACTCCTTCTATCTCCTCCAAGACACTACACCTTTAAAACAAGTGTTTCACTTAGCTCTCCACTGATAGCGCTTGCAGAGGCCCTGGGACACAGCAGGAGCTGCTAACTACAGGGCCGAGTGAAGACGAGGACCTCCACTGAGAAGTCACCCACTCTGGCACAGACTCACTCCTCTAACTTTGCAGGTGCCCAGCTGAACTTCAGACCCAGTGGAAGAGGCCCTGCTACATTTCAAATGGAAGAAAAGCGTAGACTGCAAATAGTGGCCTATGGGTCAGGCAATGGCACCTCCCAGGCGACACAAAGATGTGACTTGGGCAGCTCAAAAGAAGCCTCCAGGAGGATCATCTCTTCAAGCCCTTCATGGCATGGAATCGCACTCAGGGGCCTGGTGAAATCTGCACAGGACTTGTTCTCTCTGCCCAGGAATTCAGCAACGCCCAGCATAGTCAGTGCCAGATACGAAGCGTATTTTGCACAAGCGTGTTTGTGTTTTGAAACCCAGGACAGCTGCAGCTCCTGAAATAGCAAGGCTTGGGATCCTGAAGCCAGGGATTTCGCCTGCCTTGTTCACCTCTATGTGCCCAGTGCCCAACATTGTGTGCGTATATAGTGGGCATCCAATAACTTATTGAATTAATACATTAATAATCAATTATAAGTGAACAGCACAGGGAAATGAGAGCATGAGGTATCCTTCAATAAAAGGTGGCCCATATTCTCTATATTATATACCCATTTGAACTTTTTGTTCTGTACACTGTATGCACACATTATCTATTTTAAAAAGACAAGGAAGAAACCAGCATGCATAGAAGAGCCTTTAATGTTAAAAGAGAGAGAGAAGGGGGGAAATTCTGTCTGCCTAGAAGAATAATGAGTTGCTCTGGACAGTAGGGTTATTTTCATTTTCTTCTTTACTCCTTCATCTGTTGCTTGAGCATTATAATGAGCATGTATTAATTTATAATCATAAAATCAATTAAAGCTGTAGACA